ACGGCTCCCCCTCCCTCCGCCCGCCTCCTCCTCTCCTTCTGCTTTTTTTCCAACAAACAAACCGCATTCCTTCCCTGTGAGCAACTGGAACGGGATTGCAGGCTCCCTCCCATCACGTCATGTATTGCTTCCCAGAGCCAGGAACCAGGAGGAAAAAAATCCCCCTTCGCTTGTTGAGGTTCGTCACCCAGAGCCAGGGTGGGGGCCCTTTCTCTGGTAGGAGCCATTGGGGCATTTTCTGGTTTATGTACTGGAGGCCCCGGTGCACGGGATCTGTGCACGTTAAGGTCCCGAGGCCTGGCCTCCCCACCTCCCGCCTCCCCCTTCCCTCGCTCCCTCAGCCCCCTGCCGCCGCCGCTGGTCGCCCGCCATGTTCTGCGCCGCCCCCCTGGTGGTCAGCGCACGTCATAGCGAGTGATCGAACTCCCGCTCTCCCGGTCGAACTCCCGAGCGGACAATTTGCATATTAGCCTTTTATATACATAGACTAGGGGCCCAGGGCACGGATTCCTGCACCAGTGGGGTCCCTCAGCCTGGCCTGCGGGGATCGGGCCGAAACTGGCTCCCTGACATCCCCTGAGGGGTCCCGGATTGCTAGAGGGTGGGTCTCGGGTGATGCACCCCGGAATCGGGCTCCCTCCTCTCTGGTTCCGGGTGCATCACCTGAGAACTGCAGCTGCCAAGTCACCACAGCTTGTCAGCTCCTGTGCTGACTGCCTGCCCCCTGGTGGTCAGTGCACGTCATAGCTACAGGTCGGAGCATCTGCCCCCTGGTGGTCAGTGCACATCATAGTGAACGGTCGGACGGTCGAGCGGTCGGATGGTCACTTAGGCTTTTATATATATAGTTTTTTTGTTGTTTTTAATTCTCACCCAAGGATATTTTTCCATTGATTTTTTAGAGCGAGTGGAAGAGAGAGGGAGAGAGACAGAGACATCCATGTGAGAGACACATCGATGGGTTGCCTCCTGCACGTGCCCCGACCAGGGCCAGGGAACCTGCCACCCAGGCACCCGCCGCCCTTGACCGGAATCGAACCCGGGACCCTTCAGTCTGAGGGCCCGGTGCTCTGCCCACTGAGCCACACTGGCTAGGGCCACTGGGTACTTATAACCCCATTCGCAGGCCGTACACAACGACCCACTTAAAAGTGAGCCTGTGGTCTTCAGTCAGACGGTGAACTAACTCCCCCTTCCCCTGCCCCCACTCCTCCTCCCGCCACCTCCTCCTGGCCCAGCCGCTGCCTCTCCAGCTGTTTGCAGGGAGCGGCTGCCTCTCCCACGGGAGCAGCCGGCCAGGTGGTGACTTAGAATAAGAAGTATGTGTTGGGCGTCTGCCTAGATTCCCGGCACCTCCTGGAATTTCCCTAAGTGGTGAGCGGGATGAAGGTGCCTTTGTGGCGGGGCTGCTGGAGGCTCCCGGGTGGAGGGAGGAGCGGGGGCTGGTCTGCACCCACCTGGGGTTAGAGGACTGGAATGGCCAGCCCCACCCTCCCCTCCCCAGCTGGGGGCAGGGGGCGGGGCTGCATAGCGAGGGGCACCTCGAAGGACCAATGGCCATCAGTCCCATCTGCATTAGACAGTCTCCCTAAGAACACAAAGGGGGGGTCGGAGAGCTTGGGGTGGGTGCCCAGGAGCCGATTGCGGGCCCGTGGGGTGCCCGGGAGCCGATTGGGGGCTCATGGGGTGCCTGGCGAGGGCAAGGGGCTATACTCCCTGCCTCCCCCCCACTCCCCCTTCCTCACCCCGTTGGCTATGTGTCTCCTCCATCTGCCTGTTCCTGAGTTTTCTTGTTGTTTTTTTTCATTTCATTTCTTAAAAATATATATTTTTATAGATTTCAGAGAGGAAGGAAGAGGGAGAGAGAGAGAGAGAGAGAGAGAGAGAGAGAGAGAAATATCAATGAAGAGAGAGAATCATGGATCGGCCGCCTCCTGCACGCCCCCTACTGGGGATGGAGCCCGCGACCCGGGCGTGTGCCCTTGACCAGGATTCGAACCCTGACCTCCTGGCTCCTAGGTCGACGCTCACGCACTGAGCCACGCCGGCCGGGCCTGAGCTTCCTCCTTTATCATAAACCCGTGACCTTGTGAGGAAAGGGTCCCCGGGTTCCGGCAGCCGCCCCAGCGAATGCGTGGAGTCCTGCTCCTGGGTCTGGGGGCGTCTGATTGACAGCCCTGGGTCCAGGATGGCGGGTGTGTGGGATGGGGACCGAGCCCCTCACCTGTGAGCCCCTCACCTGTGAGCCCTGCCACCCTCTGCAGGTGGACGACAGAGCGAGCGGTCGAACTCAAGCTCTCCCGGTCGAACTCCCGAGCAGACAATTTGCATGTTAGCCTTTTATATAGAGAGATAGACTAGAGGCCCGGTGCACGGATTCGTGCACCGACCACTGGGGTCCCTCGGCCTGGCCTGCGGGGATCGGGCCGAAACCGGCTCCCCGACATCCCCGAGGGGTCTCAGATTGTGAGAGGACATCAGCGCTGGGGTGCACGGCTGGGCACCGGCTGGGGTGCAGCAGACCCACCTGGGGGCGCGGGGGACACCCTGAGGCACACCCTGCATTCGGGTGAAGGGCCCTTAAGCCGAGGACGTGTGCCCTCAGCTCCGCAGACACGGATGTGAGCTATTTAAGCTGAAATATTCCGAGTATGCGTCTGGCTCATGTCAGGGTCCACGCCCGGTCCTGGGGCCCTGAGGGGGAGGTGCCTGAGCAGCATATCTCTCTCTCTCTCTCTCTCTCTCTCTCTCTCTCGGATTCTGCAAGCTATGCCTTCACGCCAAATCCAGCCCCTGTCTGTTTTTATTTGCTTTTAAAAATCTATTTTCATTCATTTTTAGAGAGAGGAAAAGAGAGAGAGAGAGAAACATCAAGGATGAGAGAATCATGGACCAGCTGCCTCCTGCACGCTCCACACTGGGGATGGAGCCCACAACCCGGGCCTGTGCCCGTGACCGGGGATCGAACCCCGACTTCCTGGTTCCTGGGCCGACGCTCGCCCACGGAGCCACGCCGGCCGGGCCCAGCATGATTTCTGACCCGTCACGCGGACCCTTGTCCTTGGTTGCAGAAGAACCGCTTGGGAAGGACAGAGAAGGGCCGATCCGGCCACAGCCCCCTGCTCAGCGGCGCCGCCCTGCCCGCCGCCTGGAGATGGGCGCCCCCTTCTTCCAGGACGGCCGGCTGCAGGCGAAGGTCTACTGGAAAAGGACAGCAGGGAGGCGGGGG